CTGTTTGTCCCTAGAACATAAGGCTTCAGAGAGATTTAGAAAGTAGATGATAGCTTTTTATTTGCAGTAATCATAGAAATTTAGCTAGCATAGACCAATAGGCCTTAAAAAGTGTGAATTTTTCTGTATGTAAAGTATATCTCAATAAATCTGACTAGAAGTTACAGAACTGTGTTTTGAAAACTTATTTTTTGTTGAGAGAAGTATAAAAGTGCCCACTGTAAGGAAAGTAAACATTTGAAAACCCAAACTGGAAAATATATAAATTGGAAGAGGAATAAATTTGGCTTTATAGAAGAATTCATAATAGAATTATATTTTGTGGCCCACAAATATATTTTACAATGATTCAGTTATAAAATCCTACTTATAAAATTTCAGAAACAAATCACGGGTATGACATATAACTGTTTATATATGTGTTGTGAAATATTCAATCATTCATAGTGACAATTCTGTATGGATTTAAATGTAAATGTTTGTACAATAAATACTTAAAATGTGCACAATACTGTTATTCTAAGAGGAGATATGAAGCTGTATAAGGTGTAGATTTTAATCTCCCTAGCTCACATTCTGGGCTTCTCTGGTAGCTCGGCTGGTAAAGAATCTGCCTGCAATGTGGGAGACCTCGGTTTGGTCCCTGGAGAAGGGAATGGCTACCCACTCCAGTATTCTGGCCTGGAGAGTTCCGTGGACTACAGTCCATGGGGTCGCAAAGAGTCAGACATGACTGAGTAACTTTTACTTTCACTTGGGCTTCCCTAGTGGTTCAGCTGGTAAAGAATCTGCCTGCAGTGCAGCAGACCCAGTTCGATCCCCCAGTCAGGAAGATCTCCTGGAGAAGGAAATGGTAACTCACTCCAGTATTCTTGCCTGGAGAATTCCATGGACAAAGGAGCGGGACAGGCTGCAGCCCGTGGAATCACAAGGAGTCAAACACAACTGTGCAACTAACTTTCACTTTTTTTTCAGCTCACATACTGGGTGAGCATAGAACTGTACATACACAAGGAAGTCTAATATAAAGCAGCCTGAGATACAGGGCTATGAGAGAAGTCTAGAGAAAAGAGTCCCAAATTGAAGTTCCTAAGCATGTGTGTATGTGTTGCTCACATGACTTAGTTGCTCAGTAATGTCCAGCTCTTTGCGATGGACTATAGCCCACCAGGCTCCTCTATCCCTGGAATTCTCTAGGCAGGAATAGAGATCGATAGTGGAGAGATAGTGGAGAGATCCATCCCAGGTTTCCTGCACTGCAGGCGGATTCTTCACTGTCTGACCCACCAGTGAAGCCCAAAGTTCCTAAGGATTATTCTAAAACTTATGTTTGTTCAACTTTAATAAGTGCAAAATAATTTTTTTAAGTGCAGGAAAATAATAGGAATGCTCATCACATACATAAAAGAACAAAGAAAGTTGAAGATAGAACAGAAAATAGGTATGCCTATGATTGCTAAAGCAGGAGGAAAAAAAAGGGAAAAATAAAGGTAGCTTTTGAGGCCTTGAGGATAATAAAGACAATTTGAAATAGTTGTTGACTTTATTAATTAGCCTTCAATGTCTCCTCCTTCCTTAGAATAAAGTCTACATCTCTCAGTCTCCCTTGTAGGCTAGTTCTTGCCACTAGGACATAAGCTTTCAAGAACCTTAAGAGACTGCTGTGTTCTCTTTTTGACAGTCTTCCCCTCTTATTTCATTCTCCCACATGAAACAAGGACCCAGAGACCACTATCTCAATTCATGAAGACAATGGCCACTCACTGAGGATGACAAAACATAGAAATGGAAGATGCAAGTGGGCTTCTTAGAGCAGAACTATCATACCAAACCTTCCTATTCTTTATCTGGATTTTGTGTGAAACAAAGTTTTATTTAAGCTTCTTTCAGCTGTGATTTTTTTTTAATTATTCTCAACCAAACCTGATCCTAAATAATATTTTTTGTGGTCAACATTATAGTATCCTTACTAAGAATAAAATAAGGAATCCAATTTATTATTTATGTGTTTTTCACACTATGTGTCAGGTACTTTGAGTTACATTTTCTCATCTGCCTCTCTCAATTTAAGGTGCTTAGTTGCTCAGTCGTGTCTGACTCTTTGCGACCCCATGGACTGTAGCCCTCCAGACTCTTCTGTACATGGGGATTCTCCAGGTATTCTTTAGCTATTCTCAGAGGATAATATTCCTTAGAAATATTATCATCCTCATTTTACAGGTGAGGAAACTAAAATGCAGATAGTTTCTTTTTTTAATTACAGAAGGTCATACCCATAGAAAGTGATAAAGCTGGTATGAGATTCTGTCAGTCTGACTCCAAAGTTCATGCATATTCTTAACCACTGTGCTATAAGCAACAAATTGGATGGCATAAATTGGTCATGCATCTGATGAATAGATTCTGTAGTTTCTGGAGAGTTCCTTACCTCTGCCCAAACCTTCCTAAACAGTCCCTTCATTAAATGTTCTTCAATTAACTGCTAGACTCAGCCATATTTTTCCCACACTAATATATCGGTGTTTTAGGTGTTTTTCTTTTTCTTTTTTTTTTATTAGTTGGAGGCTAATTACATTACAAAGGTGTTTCTCTTTAGCTTTTGCATCCTCCAGAAGCTAGAATGGTGATTTTTTTTCTGTGATACTTTTTCCTAATCATGAAGTGTATATTTCACTTTGCCTTTTTTTTTAATCACCCAGCCTTCTGTTGCTTCCTTATTTAGAGCAAAAAGAGAGACAAACTGACAAAGATCTTCTTCCAAGGTTCTTAGTGTAAAGCTCTTTGATTAGGATATCTACTGTCAAAATTAATGTTCCCTTAATTTTTAAAGACAAATGCAACATTTTTCCTCACATACAAACCAGGTAGCTATGTATGACTAGAAATGTCTGACCAAATTTCTCTGAGAAGCCTAGAAATAAAGCAGTAGACCTATAGTGTTTTTTTTGCCTGTTCCCCATCCCTTCCTTTTGTGAAAACTGCTACCTTTGAACAAAACTGAGTGCAGAAAGTGAAAAATGGGTCAGGCTGTGGGGAAAGATTAGGCATATGTAAACAAGAAACAAATGGAGTTTTGCAAGGAAATTTTACTTCTTTAAACTGTTCTAAAGATTGCATATAGTTGGACCACACTGTAGACAGAAGAACCAACTTTGGGTGAAGAACTTTGAAAAGGACAGTAGAAGATTTCACTGTAGTTTAACTGTGGTCATAAAAAGGATAGACAGTAAGATACTAAATCAATACTTCAAGTTGTGTTCTCCTACAAAGACCGTAAGGTATGAAAATTACACAACTAAAAATGATTAAGAAAGTGAACAGGGAAAGAGGCAGCAACAGTATCCCAGTATCGATAGTAAGTGAATAAGGAGTTAGGACTTAGCCAGAGATTGCAACTTGGTATTGCAAAGGAGTAACCAAGAGAGGTCTAAATGAAACAGAAGATGTCTCCAGTAGTCAGCAGAAGACATGCCAAAAATAGAACTGATCCAAAAAGTTCAAAAAGAAAACAATGAAAAATTAATTACCGCCTTGATCTTGACCATTCACATCCAATTAAGTTCATCTTGCAGCCTGCGAGACCTTGATAATGCACTTTACACGTTTGCTTCTGCTCTGCAAATTAAATTTCCTTACAAAATCACTCAAAGAACTTCAGATTCTTTCTGTGGAAAAACTCTAATGTAATGAATAATTTCTGTTTATGATTGGTTTTAATTCTTCTTGGTTCTTTTTGCGCTGCAAAGGACTGGTGAGTTTTTTGTTTTTTCTTTAGAGATGTATTGTGCTTGTGAAGTTGCTCAGTCGTGTCCAACTCTTTGTGACCCCATGGACTGCAACCTACCAGGCTCCTCTGTCCATGGAATTCTCAAGGCAAGAATACTGGAGTGGGTTGCTGTTTCCTTCTCCAGGGGACCTTCCCAACCCAGGGATTGAACCTGGGTCACCCGCATTGCAGGCAGACGCTTTACTGTCTGAGCTACGAGGGAAGCTTGGACATACTTAGATAGTAGATGACGCATCAGTGTATACACACATTTATTGGTCGATCTTTGGGGTTTGGTCTTAAGTATTTTAAAATATTAGAATGCTACATGTAAAATTGGCAAAAAACACAATGGTAAAACAAAGCTTGAGTTAAACCATAGGTTAAGCCTACAATGATACAACCCTGTGGATGAACTAAAAACCACTGAACTGTACACTTTAAACAGGTGAACTGTATGCTATGTCAATCCTATTTGAATAGTTATTTTAAAAATCAATTTTGTAGTTCGATTGGTAACGGGAGCGGAGAGCGGACCCCAGAGAGCCCTGAGCAGCCCCACCGCCGCCGCCGGCCTAGTTACCATCACACCCCGGGAGGAGCCGCAGCCGCCGCAGCCGGCCCCAGTCACCATCACCGCAACTATGAGCAGCGAGGCCGAGACCCAGCAGCCGCCCGCTGCCCCCCCCCCGCCGCCCCCGCCCTCAGCGCTGCCGACACCAAGCCCGGCACGACGGGCAGCGGCGCAGGGAGCGGTGGCCCGGGCGGCGTCACATTGGCGGCGCCTGCCGGCGGGGACAAGGTCATCGCAACGAAGGTTTTGGGAACAGTAAAATGGTTCAATGTAAGGAACGGATATGGTTTCATCAACAGGAATGACACCAAGGAAGATGTATTTGTACACCAGACTGCCATAAAGAAGAATAACCCCAGGAAGTACCTTCGCAGTGTAGGAGATGGAGAGACTGTGGAGTTTGATGTTGTTGAAGGAGAAAAGGGTGTGGAGGCAGCAAATGTTACAGGCCCTGGTGGAGTTCCAGTGCAAGGCAGTAAATACGCAGCAGACCGTAACCATTATAGGCGCTATCCACGTCGCAGGGGTCCTCCACGCAATTACCAGCAGAATTACCAGAATAGTGAGAGTGGGGAAAAGAATGAGGGATCGGAGAGCGCTCCCGACGGCCAGGCCCAACAGCGCCGGCCCTGCCGCAGGCGGAGGTTCCCACCTTACTACATGCGGAGACCCTATGGGCGTCGACCACAGTACTCCAACCCTCCTGTGCAGGGAGAAGTGATGGAGGGTGCTGACAACCAGGGTGCAGGAGAACAAGGTAGACCAGTGAGACAGAATATGTATCGGGGTTATAGACCAAGATTCCGCAGGGGCCCTCCTCGCCAAAGACAGCCCAGAGAGGACGGCGATGAAGAAGATAAGGAGAATCAAGGAGGTGAGACCCAAGGTCAGCAACCGCCTCAACGTCGGCACCGCCGCAACTTCAATTACCGACGCAGACGCCCAGAAAACCCTAAACCACAAGATGGCAAAGAGACAAAAGCAGCCGATCCACCAGCTGAGAATTCGTCCGCTCCCGAGGCTGAGCAGGGCGGGGCTGAGTAAACGCCGGCTTACCATCTCTACCATCATCCGGTTTAGTCATCCAACAAGAAGAAATGAATATGAAATTCCAGCAATAAGAAATGAACAAAAGATCGGAGCTGAAGACCTTAAGTGCTTGCTTTTTGCCTGTTGACCAGATAACTAGAACTATCTGCATTATCTATGCAGCATGGGGTTTTTATTATTTTTACCTAAAGACGTCTCTTTTTGGTAATGACAAACGTGTTTTTTAAAAAAAAAGCCTGTTTTTTCTCAATACACCTTTAAAGGTTTTTAAATTGTTTCATATCTGGTCAAGTTGAGATTTTTAAGAACCTCATTTTTAATTTGTAATAAAAGTTTACAGCTTGATTTTTTTCAAAAAAAAAAAAGTCAACAAACTGCAAGCACCTGTTAATAAAGGTCTTAAATAATAAAAATATAAATAAATAAATAAAAATAAAACTCAATTTTGTGTTACAAAGATGAAAAATAAACTACTAAAAAACAAAACAATAACAAAAACCTAGCATTACTGTAAACAGCATGCCCAGCAAATCAAGAACAAAGATTATCAATTTATTCAACAAAAAATTTTATTGATATGGAATAGTGAAAATATGTTTAATCAGATCTTGCTCATTTTCTAATAAAAGGTCTCATATCAAGGAACTATGCTTATTCTCATACAGAAAGTTACACACACATGTAAATTAAACTGAAAAGATTCTCTCAAGAGCTCATATCACAGATTTTATGAGCCATGAGGAAGAGAAGCATAAAATTAAATGTAAAACAGATTTCATTATAAAATCTCTTTTAGAGTGAATATATAATCTCTCAGATGAGTTAGCAAACTAATATCAACAATTGAAGAAAGAGTTTTCCACACAATAATAGGGTTCTGAAGACATTTTCAATTACCCATATGTAATCAGGAACTAACTGTGATATCTTAATATACTAATGATAAAACAAAATCTTCTCTGAAACAAAAGAAAGATTTCTATTAACCTATCTATAGTCACAAAAAACAGAAAACTTTTAAAATAAAAAAAACTTTAAAAAATTATTTATAAAGCACTTCAGACTTATTTTGTTAGTTCTAACTGGTATTTTTCCTTCGCATTAAAATATTTTTAAGTGAAAGCTGAATAACAGGATAAATACAAATCTTCAATGAACATCCACATGATTTGAGGAAACCAAAAGATGACAAAATATCTTTTAAGCAGAGCTTCTTAAAAGTAGGGAGATTATATGTAAGAGGAACTTTCTAGACTAAATTTGCACATTAAGAAAGAGAAAAGAATTCTAAGGCCACCAGAGAAAAAAGAAGAAAGAGAAAACATGCAGAAAGTGTCCAAGTCAACAAAATTTAAATGAAAAGACCACAGTAAGATGAAAAATAACCCTAATTTCCTAAAACTAGTTTTTCATAGCACTTCTCAATTATAAAAAGAAACACACATTTTAAAGCTAAACACAGCTAATTATTAAAAACAATACAAGCTCTATGAAGACATTTTCTAACTTCAAGACAAAGTTAGGGGGAGGTGGGAAGGGGGACCGGGATGGGGAATACATGTAAATCCATGGCTAATTCATTTCAATGTATGACAAAAACCACTGCAATGATGTAAAGTAATTAGCTTCCAACTAATAAAAATAAATGGAAAGAAAAAAAAAGACAAAGTTAAACCTATGACTATAACAAAAAACTCCCTAACTAGTCATGCAAGTACTAATATTTGAAAATATATACATATCTATTACCTTACTCCTTGCTGCAACTTGAAAAGGAATAAGTATACGTAGGAAATTAAGATCCTATTTTTCTATAGTAAAATGGCAATGTAGCTCAATCATTTTTTTCACCAATTTCTGAGATAAGAATATTATCTCTAAAAACCTTTAATGTATATAGTTTATATATTCAAAATATAAAGATTTAGATAAATAAGAGCTACTTCAAGTACTGACCATTACTACATATGGCTAAAATCAAGTAATATAAAAATTTAAATCACTTACATTGTTGTTGCAAGTTTCTACAGCAGGGAATTTTCTGACTATGAATTTCACAGCAGATTCCAGGTTTTTGTCAATAAGGTAGGATGGTTTTTGCCTTGGGGTCTCCACAAGCCTATAAAACAACAGTAATTAAAAAAAGTGAAATGCATCCTTTTCTAAAACCAAGAAATAATAGCAAATCTGTAATCACAAATTAGAGAGAGACTTGTTTTTGGTGAGCAGGTGATAAATGAATAGGCAAAGTGCAGGGATTGTCACAGCTGAAATATGCAATGGGAGACAGTTCAGAGATGTTCTTCTACTGAAAAAAAATGCATGGAAAGTTTCAAAGCAGTTAGCGCAGAACAGCAGTGAAGGAAAAAGCTCAAACCTAAAAAAAAAAAAGAAAAGAAAAAGAAAAAAAATTCTTGGTTTGAGGTAGGATTGTATTCATCTGAAGCTAATAAAGTATTACAAAATGAAATATTCAGTAAGAGTACTGGAAATGTTTCTATGTGTTATATAATAAAAGCTTATGTTTAAATGTCTTTTCCAAAATGTTCTCCTCATTCAATCTATACATTTTAAATACAAGGGCCCTAGTTCAAAAGAACTGGAAGGTGCTAAAACTGGCCTTGGAGTACTAACTTGTGTTGCCGAAAATCTGAGTTACAACATTGTTTTCCATCATACCAGCAGCACTTCAAACAATGAAATCTACATCTACTCTATATCTCATAAGCACAGACCAAATGGAAATGTTTACATTTTGACCACATCAGCAGTACAGCAATCTCTGTATTAAACTGTAAAGCATTGTACAAATGTAAGGTATTATTATTAGAAAGAACTTTTTATCTACTATTAGCAATACAGAATAATCTTCAATACTGTTCATTCTGTGACATGATTAACTGCTTCCTAGTGAATTACTAAAATGGTAACATTTCTACTTAACTTCTTTTCATTGTATTTTAAAGAGGGTATGTCCTTTGAAAAATTATCTATTATGTATGAGGAAATACAATACTGTAATTTAATGTTTTTTCACTGTTTACGATAGCTATGTTGTGGATTGCAGAAAGAGAAATTATGAAACATGAAAACTGATCTGAAAGCGGGCAAGCGGGCAGAGGGAAGGTGAAAAGCTTTGCAAACCTTCCAAACTTGTCCTTGCTGGGGAAGCATTGTAATAAAAAGAGAGAAAATTACTTGTAAGCAATGACTGTCAAACTATGACAGACGTTTCAGTAGAGAACTTATGCACTGCAGACTATGAATAACAAGATGAAAACCATATGGTGCTACAATTTTAAAGGTATTCTAAGTAGCAAGTTTTAGTATACAATAAATTTACAGAGTTTATATTATTCATATATATTTAAATACTACTGTGAGGTGTACAACCATGTCAGTTTCTTGGTGCTCTTTCTAAGTAACTTAAAAATAATACTAGAAGGAAAAATAAAGACTACATGCAACTATAAAAACAGGAGCAAAACCATCAGTGAAATTTTATATACCTTAAAAAGAAACGGTAGCCAAGAATAAAAGTAACTCGTCATTGGATGACTTTTGCACTTTACCTCAAATTGCAACTGTTTTTCAAATATCAACTCACTCCTTACCAAGCCAAAGTATAAAAATCAATACAAAAATTCCTATATTTTCCAAAAGGAAATAAGAATGCAGTAAGAATTATCTTAATTCTCAAACATAATTAGATAAAACAGAATTAACTCTAAGAAATTTAGAACCTCATAATCTTTAACCAGACTGACACAGAGCTATTGTATAAATTCCATTTCAATATCATAAATACTAACATATCTGACTTTTCCTCAGAGGAGACTGCCACTAGCTTAAAATACTATTTCTCATAAATTAATCTTCCAATTAATCCACTTCCCCAAAAATATTATATACAGGAATAACTGAAAGACACATAACTAAGAATTTGTACCAATGGAAATAGCTACATATTAGGAATTCCTTGTATCAATGATAAAATGAAAACCAAGTTTCAAGAACATGCCTGAGGTAGTACAGAATACTAAAGTGATTCCAAATTCTTTTTAAATATTATGTATCATCTTTCATACTGTAATTATTTTAAAATCCAGTTATCCGTTCTAACAATATAAGTGAAAAAACTAATAAAATAGACCACCATGCCCGTTCCCAGTGATCACAAATTTTACTATGTAAGAATTTAATCCAGTAACTAAAGATATATCTGTATATAAACAGCTCTTCCTTACTGCACAGAAAACAAAAAGAATGGAATTTCATTTCAGGGGAAAAGCAAGTGGTCATATAGTATTTCCTTGGAATTAATTTACCTTTTTCCACACTCCTCAGTGAACCACATTTAAACAAACTACACTGGGAGACAGTATGCCATAAAGATTAAGAATACAGACCCTGACTGACTAAATGTCAGTCTTCATCACGTAACTATCCATGGCATGATCCATACTTGAATGTATTACAACACATCTCCTAATCTCGATTTTTTCATGTGTAAATGGGGAAATTAGTATTGCCCTAATAGCTATAATTATAATTACCTAAGTAAAAGCTTCATGTGAGTAGCAACCACTGAACAGTGTTTACCGTGTAAACAGAAATCATGACTAACACTCTTTCCTCCGGTCATTCATTCTTTATTCACCCCGAGTCTAAACATAACCAAGCTCGCTTCGCTCACAGAAAACGAGCAGCCCAGCAGCGGAGAGCATGAGCTGTGAGACGAGCTGTCCATGTTCAGACCCCGGCTCCTGACGGCAACCGCACACAAGCGGTCTCTGCGCCTCCGCTTCCTCAGCTGCTAAACAGACCACAACTGCAATCTACCCTCAGAAGTTCCTGCCCATTAGATTAGTGTGTGTGTGCTTGTGGGTGTGTGTATGCACATGAGCAGAATAAGAGTGTCTGGCATACTACCTTCACTCAAACATGCCGATAAAAAACACAAGACTCACAGACACTATACAAGAGTACTAGGC